AACCCAAACCCAAACCCAAACCCTGGCCTGTACTTTTATTTTCCAATAAAATCATAAGGAAAAGTGCGTAAGCTTTTTTTGAAAATTTCAAAAAAAGCTTACGAACCTTTCAAGACACAAAGTGTAGAGCCCCAACCGTACTTGGAATATAATTATTTTTATAATTACATGTAGGCTTTACCAACCCCAACCCCCAACCCCAAACCCAAACCCAGTCCTTGACCAAACCCAACTCCTTTTTTCCTTGGCCCCACCATATTACTGAAGTTCTAGGGAGACAGAATTGAGTAAATTTCTAGACCAACCCCCACCCTAATAAGGATATCAATTTAAATTATATAATTGAGTTTTCGATATTTTATGGTAAAACTTTAACCAATTCTAAATATTTTTTTTTATAGAAATATAAAAAATGGAGCTTAGATGTATGTAAGCTGATCATCAAAATCAATTAATAAATGGATGTTGCTTAGATAGCACATGCCCAAATTAAAGGCCATATTGTAATTCTTGCTTACCAAGCCATGTTCAACATATTTAAAAATTAAAATCTTTAGAAATTGTAAATGAATGGATTTAGGAGCAAATCAATTGTGTTAAAAATGTTGAAAAGAAAATTAAGGATTGTCAATAATCTCTTGAAAGTCTTAACTTGTTGATTCCTAAGTATGATTTTAATATCCAATAATTCTCAGAAATAGGAGTTTCTTAGATTGATAATATTATAAGAGATTTATCTTAAATAGAAAAGTGTGAGGAAATATTATTTCAACAACTTAAGTAATATATCGAGCAAATCAAAAGTATTATTGATTAGATATTAAGAAACATTAAGAATTAAACAAATTAGAAAGAGAAGACTAAGATATAACTTTTTAATTCTGATGAATAACAATAAATGTTAGAATAGCAATAGGATCTAAATATCTTGAAAGAAAGTTCTAACAAATTCACCTTTGAGCTTATGAATGAAAACACAATTAAGCAAGATGATTTGTGTTATGCTATTGCTTTTAATATTGATTAATCAATTGTGTTAGCTGGATGTGGTAAGGATATTAAGGTGTTCCAAAATAATTAGGGGAAATTGAATCAAATGTAATTGTTAAAACAACATAAGAAAAGAGTTTTTACTTTAAATTTTCTTGAAAAGACTAATAATTTTGTATCAGGAGGAGACAATTTAATTATAATTTGGTAGATGATTGAAAATAAATAATGGAATTGTTAATAGATATTAGAGGAACACTTAAATTGGATAACATGTTTATTGTTAAATAAAACAGCTGAACTAATCATATCGAGTAGTTAAGATAAAACAATTAAATTTTGGATGAAAGAGAATAATTAATGGTTGAGCTATTAAACCATAACTGATCATTCTTATATTGTATATTCATTAAGTCTAAATGAACAATAAAATAAGTTGATATCTTGTTCATATGATAAATCAATATTAGTAATAGAATAAAGTAGTTTAAATAAATAATGGAGTGTTACATAAAAGATAGAAGTTGATTAACATGGAAGACGATTATGTTTTATCAATGACACTTAATTTACATTCTAACCTTATTGTCAAGAATAAATGCATATATATGAATACGAAGCTAATAATAAATAATATTCAAAAACTAAAGAAATTGCTGTAAAGTGTAGTTCAGATTTTTGTGATTACTTCTTTCCATAATAATACTAAAAGGAAAAATGCCTACTAGTGAATAAGAATGGCAAGAATGTGAATATAATTTAGAAGAAAGAAAATGGTGATTTTCTTGTTTTATAATCTATTGAATTTAGCAGTGAAGTTATTTATGGGCAATTAAGTGATGATGGAGAGTATTTGATCATTTTTATTGAGAATGAAATTTAAATAAGAAGGTGTTAGAAAATATGAGCATTATCATATAAATTATGAAATATTTTAGAATTTTAAAAATTAATTTAATATTCAATACAAATTTATTTAATGACAAACTAAAGGTAGATCACAAAGGTAAAAAAATTCATTGATTTTACGAAATTGTGTATTTATTAAGATTATTATTTTGATAATATAGATTATGATTTCCCATTCTTCTAGATAATTACAATAATTTTACCATAAAGAGAGAAAGGGGAATGTTTAGATTCAAAGTTTTTAGAAGAATGTTATTGTAAATTTTTAAGTAATAATTTATAAATAAATTTAGTTTAGTTGCAATATTGAAATGGATTAATAATTAAATGAATATGTGGCAATCTGAGTTAGACCTTTAAGCAAGAAGAACTAAATGCGAAAGATGAATGTTGTTTAAAGATTTAGGATAATAGAGTATTAATTAAAATGAAAATAGATAATTTCCATAAAGCATAAAAATCTTTAAAATAGGATTCCCAATTAAGAAGAGATTTTTGATTGGTAAAGAATATATTTGCTAATTTTAGTTTTGTCACCAATTTACTATTAAGAGATATTAAATAAAAGGGAAACATAGAACAACTTCAAGCAACCTATATGAATTTAAATAGTTCACAGATCTCATCAATATTTACATGTTATTTTTTAATAAACCGAGAATCTGAAGAAGGATCTTAAATGCTAAATTTCATTTTATAGATTTAGCAGGTAATGAGAGACTAAATAAGCTATGGCAACAGGAAAGTAGATGAAAGAAGGAATTATGAAATATACAAGTTAAGCAAGAAATAAAAAATAAACCTACTTAAAATGGATAAAATGAATTCTGATTAAAGTTTATCATTAATATGATATTATATGTTTAGTGCCTTAATAATTTTTCGAAGGTATTAGATATTAGAGTCCATTTCTATCAATCTTTCATATTATGTTAATGCCAATGTAGATTGATTTGGTTTAAGTTCAACTAAATCATATTTTAAAGAAAAAGTAATCACAAAATTGGAAAAAAGCACAATTATCTTAAAAATGCTAAATTAAAGTTCAAACATATGTCCTTTTTAATTTAAATTGAATTGAAGTTTCGTTATAATTTTTAACTTATTCTTCCCATCATACAAGTAAGAGTGATGGAAGAATTCAGCAAAAAATATCCAAGTTATCAGGATAGTTTTTCTAATTTATTAGATTTCACTTTTAGAGATATAGTTGTTATGTTAAAGATTATGTTTGATAACAGTTATCAAAATGATTAAACTCTTCATTGCTTCAAGCAATTAATACTGATCTTATTATTATTTTGGATTGATTTATTAAAATTTCTGAAAAATAGTCTACTCATTTATCTTAGGCAAATTTTCATATTTAAGTAATCTCTTTAACATTAAACTTTAATTAATTAATAAAAAATGATTGAAAAAGTCAATAAACAGAAACTGTAATAATAGTAAGAGATAATTACAAATGAATAAGTTAAATTTAAATTAGTAAATGATTCAATTGAACAGATAGGTTTTTCAGATGCGCTAGAATTCGATAAAAATGGATAAACAATGATTTCAGGCAATATTAATTAAATAAAGATTTGGAATTTTGAGTAAGGAAGTTTACAATTATCTTGTACATGTTAAGTACATGAACTGAGTATTACATCTTTAGTGAGTAACAAACAAAGCAATAACTTTATTTCTGGTTCTGACGATTACACAATTATATGTTGGTAATAAGTTAATCCATAAGAGTGGAAACATTCTTAACCCTATAAGTAACACAATAGTACTGTGATTTGTTTAATCTTGAATAAAAATGAGAATTAATTTATTTCAGGGAGTTGTGATCATACATTAAAAGTTTGGAATGTTAATTTTTAAAGTAATGAACTTAAGTATTTGTATTGTTTAAATAATCATAACAACTCTGTTAGATCATTTAGTTTTAATCAACAGCAAACAATTTTAAAATGGGAATTTAAATATAAATAATAGAAGAGATCTAATATGATTATTTATTAAAATAGTGGTAGTGGATCATATGATGTAGGGATTAAGAAAGGTAGATGAATTTAATTAAGTGATGATTTTTTTAGAAATCCTAAGTAACTTATTAAGGTGAATTTAAAAAAGGAAAAAAGTTGGAAAATGGGATATTTTCTTTTAAGGGTAATACGAGAAAAAATAATAAAAGATATATAATAAATATATCAATAATAGAGTGGTGGTGGATATTATTAAGAAGGAACTGGTAGTACTAAGATGAGGAGATGGATTGAATTATAGGATGGATTTAATAACTATTCTTAAGTCATTTATAATGGTGACTTTCAAAATGGAAAAAAAGTAGGTATCTGGAGTATTTTTTATAGGAAGATGAGATAGAATTTAAGTAGTTGTAATATAATTACTTATACAAATCTTTTAGTGGTTGTGGATCTTATAGTAATGGAAGTAAGCCTGGAATGTGGATTGAATTATAAGATGAATTTGATCATTATTCTAAAGGTAGATGGGATATTTTGTATAGGAAGTACGATGAGAAAGAATTTTAATAGATGTTATATTTTATTTAGTTTAAATATGTTATTAGTGGTGGAGGATTAAATGACTAGGAACGTTATAGGATTAAGATAGGGAGATGGATTTAATTTGATAAAGAATTTAGGTATAATTCTTAGTTAACTTAACATGGAGAATATAAAAATGATAAGAAATTTGGTAATTGGAATTCTTTTTATAGAAAGAATGATTAAAATACTTTTGTGTAAGTCTTTTATATTTTATTATCTTTTGATTTTTAGACTAAATTTTAAAATTTCATTAACTTAAATTCAGTTATAAATTTTTAGATTATTTAACATATTATATAACAGCAATAATAAATTCAATTTATCTAATATTACAAATTTAAAATTTAGGAGAAAAAAATTAAGAATATTTAAACTTAAATTCATTTAGAATTTGTCACAAAAATCTATTTTTTAGAGAATTTATAGATAATTTTGAATTGCTTTGATAAAATTAGATTCGAATTAGATAAATTGATAATTTAATTGAAATACGAAACAAAATCTTTAATAATAAAGAAAAAATGGATTAATTCTTGTAAAAACTTTATATAATTGGAAAATAAATAAGATGCAGCCTGAATAGAATAGAGAGTATCATAGAATGTAGAACGACTAATCATTATATATTTTTTTTTTCAAATTCACCATCATATTTATATTAATTTAAATGAAAAAAGCTCTAGATGTCTTAGACTATCTGCTAATTGTAGGAATCTAATACAAAATTTTGTTTAGGATTTTTAATCAATTCTAATAAATTTTAAAATGTAGAAATGTCAGCAGGACATTTGATAAAATTTACCTACTCTCCTTAATTTTTTTCTGTATGAACTTAAGAAATTGTTAAAAAGTTTGAATAGGACATATTCTATTAATTATAAACAAAATCAAATAAATTAAATCATTTTCTATGAAAAAAGGAAAGTTATTAAACTAATTTTATTTTAAATTCAAAAATTAATTAACAAGAGGAAAGATAAAATATTTTTAGTAATTTAGAAAAAACCTTAACAGAAGATAAATAAAATCCTTTTGGAATGTTTTAAAGCTTAATATTAAATATTGATACCAAAAGTTTGGTAAATAAATTATGTTATTATTATATCTTTTCTGTTTATTAAATTTGATTAGCCAATTTTTGTAGATTTTTAATTTTTTTCTCTTCTTCAATTAAAAGGGCTATCACTCTAGGGTCTATGAAGTTACGTAATTAAGCCTAAGACAATTTCGACAGTACCCCTAAATTATCTAGCGACCACTTAGGTTTTTAATAATGGACATCGACTGATAAAAATGTCTTGAGCTTTATAGAATTTTAGATGAGTTTAATTATAGGGATCAAATAGGGAAAAGAAGTGAAATAAATTAAAATATGTTATACATTAATCTTGAGAGAGAGAATTCGAAAAAGTCAGAAAAGAAGATGAAGCTATGAATTTTAGATTAAAACTAGTTTTTTAATTATTTATTTTATAAATACTTTATTTAGTAATTAATTGGGTTAAGGGTTTTCGGAATCATTTTTAATAGTAAAGAATAATACTAAATTTAATTAGCCTACATTCCAAGGCTGAAACAACAAATATAGCATTAAATTATGATTCAATTGAATTTAAAACAAATACTTTTAATATAAAACTTTTATTGAAGATTAACACCATTTTTTGAAATCTGATATTCTCACTAAATTGAGATTAAATTTCCTGCTATTGTATTATTTTTAAATTCTTAAATTTATTAACTGTGAGGTAACAGATTATTTATTACATATAAGACTAAAATTTTAAAATGATGTTCAATTTTGCACCGTATTTAGAATTTACAATTTAATTAATTTGTTATTTCTATTTTCTATCTAATATCCATTTCAATTTAGCAAAAGATTCACAAAATAAAAATTGTAATTCAATAATTAACTCTTTAGAAAGAATGTATCTAATCTAATAAATTTATTTTCTTCTTTCAAAAATTTTTTACAATCCTGAATATACAAGAATGAATAAACTAAGCATACAAATTTTGATAAGTTATTAATTCTGTATATTGATTGATATCACACCTCTCAATTTAGAATAATGAATAAATAAGTTCAAATTATTATTAAAAATGAATTAATTAAAAAACTTAAACTATGTCAAGCCAAATTTATCTTTTCTAGATCATCAGAAAAAAATTGTTTATGACTTTAAAATTTTTTAGTTTTTCCCCAAAAAAACCTCATTTCATCATTTCATCATGTAAGCAAAACGACTGGGGGAAGATATAAAAGAAAGTAAAACTGTTATTTCATGTATCTAATAAAATCGCTTTGTGCCATCTTAAGAATTATACCAACTATGTGTGAAAAGTTTAATAATTAATATGATTGACAAAAATATTTAATAGCTTGTGTAATTCGAAGAGATGGATTATTTTAAAATCCCTGATCCTGGTGAATATAATACCGTTAAATACACAAATAGCATTCCTAGCTATAAGTACTTAAAATGATTATAAAAGATTTGGAAAAGAATAAAAATTGAAAATGGGATCAAAATCTACAACCCCTTCTCCTTCTGATTATTACACTCCATATACATTTACATAAAAAAATATATTTCGGTAACCTCAAGTAGCTAAAATTAGGTTTGGAAGAGAAAGAAGATAATAATTTTAGATTAATAATGTACCAGGAGTTGGAAAATATAATTTATAACTTGTTTATGGAAATAATAAAGGTGTGACTTTTGGAAGGAATTTATAGGTGATAGATAAGGAAATGTAAATCATATGATCGATATTTAGAAACTAATTTAACGAAAAGATGTAAAAAGTAGGATAATGGAATGAAAAAAGAAGGTAAAGTAATAATTATCTTGTTTTTAGCAACTTTACTTTCAAAGGAAAATATGTAAATGGTAAAAAAGTTGGAAGATGGGATATCTATTTTAGAAGAAGGGAGTATGAACCATTTGAAATGATGTAAATATTGAAAGTAATTTTTATAGTGGTGGCGGATCATATTACTTAGATAATTATGATCAATAGCAAAATTGGAAGGATGGGAAATGGATTGAGTTGAGTGATGGATTTAAAAAGTATTAAAAAAAGAAATTATATTATTATAGGGACAGCTAAGTGACGCATAATGGTGAATATAAAAACGGAAACAAAGTTGGTAAATGGGATATCTTTTATAGACTTTAAGATAAAAAGGAATTTGAATAAATGTAACTGTTAATTTTAAGTGATAGTGGTGGTGGATCATATAAAGAAGGAGAGGAAAATTAAAAAGATGGAAAATGGATTGAATTGAGTGATGGATTTAAAGAGTATCGATTAGGATTAACTTAATGTAGTTAAATTCAAATTACTTATAATGGTCAATATAAAAATGGGAAAAAAGTAGGTAGATGGGATGAAAATACGAATGGATAATTAACCAATATATAGATATTTTAGTTAGATTAACCGTTAACTAGTTTTTTATTTGATGAATTCAACTAAAAAACTGGATCATGGATTGAGTGGGAAGGGTTTTTAATTTATTATTTATTTTACTTTTTTTATTAGTAACCTTTATTCTACTGGTGAATATAAAAACGGGAAAAGAATTGGTGAATGGGATATTTTTTGGAGATTAGATTAAAAGAAATCATTTGAAAAAATGTAATTAAGAATTTTTATGAGTAGCGGGGGCGGATTGTATGATATTGAAGGAGAAAAAGAATAATATGGAAATTAAAAAGTTGGAAAATGGATTGAATTGAGTGATGATTTTAAATTGTATTAGAAAAAATTATGTTAATTATAGGGATAGTTAAGTAACATACAATGGTGAATATAAAAATGGTAAAAAGGTTGGTAGTTGGGAGGTTTATTGGAGGATGGATTTTAAGAAACCGTAAGTTCAGATGTATTAATATTTTTTATTTTAGCGGTGGCGGATCATATAAACTACCAGAAAACGAAAAACTATTAAGTTAAAAAGATGGGAAATGGATTGAATTGAGTGATGGATATAAATTGTATTGGAAATAAAATTATTTTAATTATAGGGATAGTTAAGTAACATACAATGGCGTATATGAAAAAGGTAAAAAGGTTGGAAGATGGGATATTTTCTGGAGGGTCGATTAGAAAAGACCACTTGAAATAATGTATATATCAAAAGATCATTGTTTTAGTGGTGGTGGAACATATTATGAAGATCATAGCAATGTAAAGCAAAATTGGAAGGATGGAAAATGGATTGAGTTGAGTGATGGATTTAAAAAGTATTAAAAAAAGAAATTATATTATTATAGGGACAGCTAAGTGACGCATAATGGTGAATATAAAAACGGAAACAAAGTTGGTAGATGGGATATCATTTATAGACATTCAGATAAAAAGGAATTTGAATAAATGTAACTGTTAATTTTAAGTGATAGTGGTGGTGGATCATATAAAGAAGGAGAGGAAAATTAAAAAGATGGAAAATGGATTGAATTGAGTGATGGATTTAAAGAGTATTGAAATTTCAACCTACTTTTATTTATTATAGTTCGAGTTAAGTTATATACAAAGGTGAATATAAAAATGGTATTAAGGTTGGTAGGTGGGATGTGTTGTTTAGACAATTAAAAACGTTTGAATAAATGTAAGTAATTTTATTTAATTTATTTAGCGGAGGTGGATCATACAATGATCGAATAGAATAATATGGAAAGGTTAATTAAAAAAATGGAAGATGGGTTGAGTTGAGTGATACCTTTTAATAGTATAAAACAGAATTATATAATTTCTATAATAGTTCAAATTAGGTTACTTATAATGGGGAGTATAAAAATGGTAAAAAGGTTGGTAGATGGGATATTTTTTATAAATATTATTATGAAGGTTGGAAAATTGAAAAAATGTAATTTTTTTATTCCTAATTAATTATAAAGTGGAGGCGGATCATATGACGTTATTGGAGAAGTTATGGAGGGATAGGTACATCAAAAAAATGGAAAATGGATTGAGTTAAGTGATCATTTTGATAGGTATAGGAATTTTAAATAAATATTTACTGTTATAGTTCAAATTAAGTTACTTATGTTGGAGAATATAAAAATGATTAGAAAGTGGGTAGATGGGATATCATTTATAAATATTATTATGAAGGTTGGAAAATTGAAAAGATGTAATTTTTTTATTTCTATTTCTAAAGTGGAGGTGGATTATATGATGAGAATGGAGAAAATTAGGATGCATAGGGAAATCAAAAAAATGGAAAATGGATTGAGTTGAGTGATAGTTTCAATAAGTATTAGATATTTAAATATTTATTTTAAAAAAAAATAGTTATTGTTAAGTGACTTATAAAGGTGATTATACAGATGGTAAAAAAGTTGGTAGATGGGATTAGATGAAAAGAGATGAGAAAAATATTAATGAAGGATTTATAAAGATGTAACAATGTTCAAATTAATAAATATAAAATAGTGGAGAATAAAATTATGACAATGATTTGAATTAAATAAAACAATCTCAATTAAAAAAGAATGAGTGATATAATTATAATAAATTGTAAACAATAATTAAAGTAACAATTTCTTAATTTATTTTGTGTCTTAATGCCTATTCTATTTTATATTTTTTGCTTATTTACTAGTGTATTTAAGAATAAATTAATTAATTAATAATTACCAATATTTTTTATGTTAAATAATAGAATTAATACAATTAATATTCTAATAATAATGATCATGGATTCATCCCAAAAATACAGTAAAATTAATGTATGTTAAAATAAAAATTGAAGCTAAACTTTAATTAATTAAAAAATATAAATATAATTTAAATTTTAGAAATTATTTTTAATTATTTAATATTTTTAAAGTATTTAAAGGATTTTTATCAAATAGAATTGATATATTTAATAAATTCATCAATTGTTAAAGAATAAAATTTCTATAATTTTTAAATTTTAAATATCATTTTTTTAGAATAAAGTTTAATTAATTTATTAAATTGAAAGCAGTTTTTTCAATAAATTTAATAAGGCATTTAATGCCTAATTCCAATTTATGGTAATGAATTGTTTCAATTTCATTTTTAATCTTGTATTTATAACTTATAATTGATGTATCATAAATTGAGGTATTTTGTAATCCCTTACTGATTAATTTTAACATGGTTAAACTGACAAAAATTTTTAATCTCATATATGAAATATTATATAAATTAAAATTAAAAATATAAAAAGTATTTAAATATGGAAAAAAATTTTACCAAATAGAAAGAATATAGATAATTGTAGAGAATTTTCTAACTTTTGACTGTGGATACTTCTATAAATAATAAGAATGTTAATTTTCAAATAAGAATGCATAAATTTTACATAAATATCTTTTATTAAATTTGCGGTCATGTGAAACAATTCTAAATAGTGTTATATTGATGACAAAAGATAGAGAAAAAGATAGGAATCAGAAAGCAGATGAGAGTAGAAGAGAGGATAAAAAAGATTTTGCTAAAAATAAATATCAATAGAGAAATTATTAGTGAGAAAGTTAGAAGTTTTATTGACTTGTTATGAATACAAAATATGAAGAATTATAACTGCCCCTAATATCAGATATAACTGTAAATATTATAAGAAAAATATGAGATTTTTTAAAAAGTGTTAATTGTAACGTTTAACAACTGTGAAATAAAAAATAAATAGTTGCCTAAAAAGATTCCTTATGAGAGCTGAAGCATAGCATAGAATAATAGGACAAAGAGATGATAGACCTCAGACTACAATTCATCAAAGGAATAAAACCTAAATTTGATCAGTATTCATTAAATATTCAACATTAGAATCTTAAATACAAATAAAAATTATGATATAAACTCAGAAAGTGGCTTAGGACTTGAAAACCGAATTTTGAATGAGCAGAAGTGAATAGAAGCATCAACAGAATGGCCAAGCCTTATGCCTATCCTATTCTTGGAACCTTAATTCTTAATTTGTAATTTATTAAGGGTGGTCTTTAAAAGGGAAATGGATTTTAAACTAGATTCAAAGGAGTTTCCCTTTTTACAAACTGTTATAGTAGGTACAATATATATAGTAATTAGAGTATCATTTATAATTGTAGCAATTATCAATTCTTAATTATAGGTAGATGTAAGTTAAGGAATAGAAATTGATTATATAACTGAGATCCTTTATACACCTAATTGGGTGAACAAGAAGCTCAGGAAGGCAAGGTTCAACTATACATTTTACTAATAATCCAGAATAAAGGAAACATATAGCTTTAGAAATCATTGAAATATATGCACCGTTAACAAAAAGAATATTAATACAACAAATAAAAACAGAGTTGAAATCTATTTATATTGAAATATTAAACCAAGATATTAGATATTTAATAGTTTAGCCGTTTAAATCTATTAAATCTGTAATAGATAAATACTTATTCCTTAATTACTAATAAGCTATTATTAACCTTAAAGATAATGAACAAAGGCCAATGCATAAATTATAGAATTGCTATAAAATTTTAGAACAAATTGATAAGCCAGAAACATTTTTCCAAAAGATGATACTTTTTGGTATAGAAAAAATGTGTATGCACAAAAGTTAATGGTAATATAGTACCACTTACTTCAAATTGTTAATGGTTCACTGGCTGGATATTATCTTTTTAAACCATCAAATAGTATCAATTTTATGGGAAAATCTTTTTTACAAATGAAACAAGAAGAGATATTCTAATAATAGGGAAATACATAGAGTCTTGGAAAAAAATTATATATAAAGCTCTTAAACTAATAAAATGGAAATCTAAAACAAACCTATAGAGCAGTTGTAATTGTTTTAGCAAAAACCTTGAGAAATTATTTTTCAAGCTTGATGAATTCAATTAATAGGTAAAAAGAAATGGAGTTAACTATTGCTAAAAAAAAATTAAATTGATCCTTCTCTCCTTAAAACATCTTCCTCTTAAAGTAAAAAAGATAATGTAATACCTAATATTATATTATCAATTAAAATTTAGGTATTTAGAATTAAAATAAAGTAAATTCACAACCAAAAAGTAATCTGAATGATATTCACATTACTTAAAATAAAAAAAACTTTTTTAAAGTTGAAATATTGCAATTAATTGATCTAGGGAATATTCCAGATTTATTAATATCGAAATCTTTTTCTTACGATGGATTGCAAATGCAATAAAAATACATATTTGTTGCTTTATATACCTTAATTAATTTCCTCGAATTCTTTCTATTGTATAGATGAATAATGAATATTTTTCACATAATAAGAACCTAAATCATTATAGCTTTTTTTCTTCTTTTTATTTCTTATTCAATGGTGGTTAAATGGATTATTTGAATATCCCCTAATAGAGAACATAATTAAATATCAAAGATTTCAAATTCTTAGGCATGCAATGAAGGATCATTTGCAATTTATAGATCATAATATCGAATAAAAATCTCCTTTCTATAGAACATGATTTGTAATTATTAAAAATGGCGATATAATAAATAAAAAAATGAAAACCAAGGGAATAAGTTAAAGGGAAAACTATATTTTTCAATTAATTATTTTAAGGATGTTATCACTTTAGGTCAAGTTTTTTTTTTGCTAAAAATATTGATCAATATTCAAAAATATATGGCAAGCCTTTAATATCAGGAATAAAAGTGACGTAAATAGATGAAGTATAATTGGGATAAGAACTTTAGGATTTTCTTTATCAATTGTAACATTTTGAATAGTAATAATTATTATACCATTTTGAAAACATAAGAGAACAAATGAAAAATTTTTTTCCAGTTTTTAAATATATATTTTATATAAAACATAAAAAAAAAACATTTAGAAAGATTAATAATTTTAATTGAATAATATGAAAACTATTTCTAGAAAGGCCACCTTTTGATAATGAATCAACGATTAATAAAAACTAAATTTCATTCATCATAATAATATTAGGTTATTATTTCTTGATTTTAATTTAGATTAATGGAATTATCGCTAAATTCTTTTGAGTGAATAAAGTGAAGATGAAAGATGAAAATTTTTGAGTTTTGAATTACCATTAGCACTACTTTAATTAGGTTTAAGTGCTTGATATGGAATTAGTGATATCTAAAGTATAATATCAAATTTAATTTAATAGTCTCCATAAACCAACTAATCTCTATTTTGGCTTGTATTATTTAACAAAAAATTACAAAAAAATATAAAAAATAGTTCTATTTCTAAGATTACTTATTCAAATTAATTAAAAGTTTCTTTGATTTCAATCAATTTTTATATAAATGGTTGATTAATTTTATCATGTTTTTAATTAAATTAAGTAAGTAAAAAGAACAGAATAAACCATTATTTATTGATTATCTAATTAAAATAAAATGAATGAATTTTCAGAATGCTCTTAATTCAAAAAAAATAGTCTTCATTAATTAAATATTAAATACTTTAAAAATTATTCAAAACATAAAATTATTAATATTAAAAATAGGTGAAGTAATAAAAACTTTTCTTCAAATGTTATAGTTTTATTAATTATTGAAATTTTAAGTTTATGAATAATATCTGAACTCATCTGACTCAATAAAATTAAAATTTAAGCGGAAATTTTGTTTATTAAAAACCAAATATATTTTAATTATGTTTAAAGTATCCAAAAAATAATTGAAACAAATATTAACTTCTGCTATAAATAAAGAGGATAAAAATAGCATGGATGAATTGAAATCAACAAAACAATTTATAGAATCTCTAAAGTCTAATATAGAACAAGGATTGACTGATAATGAGATAAGAGTAAGATAATAAATATTTGGAATCAACGAGAAGGAGACATTCATACCACTTAACTTGATAAGTAAGATTTGGAGTATGGTTATTGTAAATAGTGAATATAATATATTAGACACCAAAAACAATATTTTTTTAATCCATGTCAGTGATTACACTTATTTTAACTTACATATCAACCGAAGGAATATTTACGAATGAATGGATAGAAAGAGTTATTATATTTGTAATAATTTCTTTGAATCCCATAATATTATCAGCAATTCAAGTAAATTTATATCAACCTAACCAAGTTAAAAATCAATGATAATAATAAAAAAAATTCATATATTCAGGATGAATAACAGAAATAAGTAGTTGTTTTGAGAAATGGAAAAGAATAAACTATAATAGCAAGGGATTTAGTAGTTGGAGATATTGTGATTTTAAAGTAGAATGATAAAGTGTATGTTGATGGTTTAATTGTGGAATAATCTTAATTATAAATTTATGTATATATATTTTTAATTATAATTTATTTAGGAAGGCTTTTTAACAGGAGAGATATTGGCTGTTCCTAAAATTACAATAGAAGAAGCAAATTAAGAGAATAAGACAACTCACTTTGTCTATGCAGAAAGTGATGTATTGAAAGGTAATGGTAAATTATTGGTTTTGGCAGTTGGTGAAAATGTTCATGGTTATATTTTACAAAGTTTATTGGGAAAATTTGAAGAAGGAGAACCAATTATTGATAAAACAATAGAAAATATTTCATCTAAAATGGAAATAATAGGATTTTTAGGTTCTTTAATTTTAATCATAATGGTACTGATTAGATATATAGTATAATATTAAAACTCAATTTTAAATGGATATAGTACATTATCAAATATATTGAACTTTATAATAGTGTTATTATCATGGAATTCATCAAAAGCGTTGATAAATCATTATAAAATTCAATTAGCTTAAACTTTAAAGAAGATGTTAAATTCTAAAAACTTAGTTAGAATGTTCTAAACATTAGAAAATTTATCATTCATGGATAAAGTATTATATGTTAATAATCAAGTTAATTATTGATGCATAATCTCTATATGAAAATTATATGGTTATTGTTAGTTTTCTAAATGATACAGATGGAGAATTAACTTAATCAAGATTAGATCAATTTCCATAAGAATTCAAATAAGCCTTTATTGATTGCTGTTTTTTAAATTATGAATCAGAATAAGATAAAATATAGTCTAAAACAGAGGAAGCATTTTATTTGCTATCTTAAGAGTTGCAAATTAAAATAGAAGAGAGAAAAAGCAAAGTGACTCATTTAATCCCTTATACAAGAACTAGAAGAAGTAGAGTAATAATATAGATTTATTTAATTAGGGATGTATTGTTGAAAATAATAGAATTTGTATGAAGGGAGCAAGTGATATAATATTAAAATCATCAAATAGTTTTTATAGTTTAAAAGATGGGATAATTCCTATTAACGATTTTGTAAAGAATTAAATAGAATAGAATTTAAATTAATTAAGTTAAAATGCTGGTGTAATTACAGCAATAGCATATAGAGATATAGATTTAAAAAATGAAAATATCGAAGAATAGATATAAAACAATAATTTTAAATATGATACAGAAAATTTAACATTATTAGGTTTCTTTGTAATATCATCTAAATTGAAAGATGAAGGAAAAATGGTTGTTGAAGAAATTTAATAAGCAGGAGTTAAAGTTATTTTGGTTGGAGGTGATAATTAAAGATTAATAAAGAAAATAGCTTAAAAGACTGGTATTATGTCTAAAGACTCAATAATTACAGAAGGAAATAATTTTACAGAATAATTAAACAATAAAACAGAAAATTTTTAAAAAGAATTAGAAGATATTTGTGCTATTAGTAGAGCAACCCCAGAAATAAAATAGTAGATAGTCTAAGAATTATAATAATTAGGACATATAGTAGGAGTAACTGGTCATACTTTATCTGATGGTAAATATTAAAATTATTGTATTAATTAGTTAATATTCTAAAATAGGCTGATGTAAGTTATTGTATGGGAAGATCAGAATAAGAATTAGTTAAAGAGAATTCAGGGATTCTTTTATTGGATAATAGTCTTCATTATATTTATCTTGGAATCATTTTAGCTAGAAATCTATTAGATTCTATTAAAAGACTAATTTAATATTAAATTACTACGCACATTTCATTAATTATTATATTAATAGTTTCATTAACTATTAATGACACTGTTATAATAACTCCATTATAATTTGTTTGGATTAAATTGATAACTGATTTGATTGCTTCATTATCTTTATCTTATTGTAAACCAAGTGCCAAATATTAAAAGCCATTTAATAAAAAAGGATATTTAATTGATATTTCTATTTTTATCCACATAATTATATTATCTGTCTATACTATAGCTGTTTGCATTTTATTTGTAGATTAAGTATATTTATTATTATTTATATCTAGACTTTAATGGTATTCAATATATTTGTAATTACAACTTTATTTAATTTGATTAATTCTAATATGGTTCAATTAGAGATTAATATTTTTTAAGTATTTTGTAGTACTTGGATGATTTATATTTCAATATTGATTATTGGAATGCTTCAATATTTCATTGTAGAATAAGGAGGAAAATTAATATAAGCATGTAATGGTTTAAGTCTATAATAATGGTAATTAAAAATTATAATATAAAAAGGCTAATTTGTATTCTTATTGGATTTGGTAGTATAGTTTGGAGAGCTGTACTTATTATGATCACTAAACCAATCCTTGCCATTTTTGTTAATTAAAAGAGAGAAAAAGCCAAATTAAAAGTTAATTGAAATAATATTAAATAGTGCATAAAGGAAAACAAAAATATATGCTTGTTTAATCTATAATTCTTTATATTATCTTAACCTAACTATCCTATCTTCTATTCACTTTTACTATTTTTTATTTGTTTCTCTTTTTTAACTAAATAATTTAGTTATCTATTCTTAATAATATTTAACAAAACACTCTTTTTGTTTTTACTTTATTTATTTATTATCAGAGAAATTTTTATAAATGAATTATCTATCATTATTTTCAATGATATAATAATAATTTATAATTTTAATACATTGAAAATTTATTACGCTCAAAATTAAGTAATCAAAAATGCCTTAATTAATTATTAAAATATCAATAAAGATTTTTAAATTATTCTATGAATAGCATAATATTTTACTAATTATTAATTTTATTATAAATTAAAGGATTATCCAAAAAAGATCTCAATTCATGAGTTATAACCAAAAGTGCGATTAATGTTTTATATATAAGATCATTTTAAAAAGCAATTGCGAAAAGATTCTAATAGAAAAAAAACAATTTAATAAATATCTTCTGATTTTTTTGAGTTATCGTTTTATTCAATTATGAATAAATAAAGCCAAAAGAAGTGAAAGTATTTGAGATCGATTCAAATACGATATTATCTTTATATAAATGATTAGAGAATTATTTACCTAGTAGGAGATATGATAAACAATGACATAGTATAATAAAATATCTATAATCTTAATCTTATTTAAAAAAGAAAAAATTAAGATTAAAGAGGATTAATAAATTGCTAAGGATTGTATTTGAAAGTAAAAATTCAATGAGAATAAGAATCGTCAATTACTATACAATTCTATAGGTTTATACTATTCATTACCTGTTATTGAGACACTAATCTTAAATAATTTTCATACGTTTGCACTATATATCATTTTCTTTACATTCTAATTATTATCATAATTCTTTAACCTTTCCTCCTTATTTCCTTATTTATAGTTTTATTAATTTAGTATTCTTTAAAGTTATATATAAGATATAAATAATTTATTACATTATTATCATTATTTATTCTATATTTATCCATTTCTTTCACATGTTAAAATTGTTCTTAACAATGGATTTGTAAAAGTAGATGTTGTTTGTGTATTTATTAAAATTTTTAAATTAATAAAGCCTATATGATACTCTTTACTTACTTATTTTCAATTTTCCAATCCCTATTAATTAACTATGTTATTTCATATTTTATAATAACAAAAATTTGAAGTGAATTGTCATTTCCTTCTATTACAATTTGCTTTTTACTTATAAAATATAGTTTATTTTGTTGATTAGGATAATTAACTATTTATTAACATATTCCCTTTTTATATTTATAATTGTATTATATTTGTTTCTTCAAACTAAAATACTTTTCCGAAATTAATTATCACTAAGCATATGTGTATGTGTTTATGAGATTTTCTTATAAAGTAAATGATAAGAGAAAAATACATAACAGTTGATAGAACAACAAGGTAATGATTAATTGGTGAGAGTTTTAAATCTAATCTTTGTCAACAACAATTGTTGAAAATACTTTATTCAATAAATCATTATCTATACTATAGACTTTCTTGACAATTTTCATAAACCTAATGAATTAAATATAACTGTTCACTTAACTCAGGGAATTGTAATTAGTATTAATGTAATTGACGGTATTAGAGATTTTAAATTAATTCCTGAGTTTTTTCTACAGTAGAATTCCAACAATCATGATTAATTTTAAGAAACTTCACCTAAATTTTATTTAATGAACTTTCTTGTGAGGGATGAGCAATTAACAATAGTATAATATGTGTTGTCTTTCCACTTCATTTTTACTATTAGAGAAATAAATTTTATTTCAAGAAAATTATAAAGATAATATTCAAAATTTTAATACGACAAGATAAATATCATAATTTAAGAATTTGTACAGTTTTATTTTATATAAGAAACTTAAAAGACAATATTTGTTTATTAGCCATAACTATGATTTTATTTATTAATCTTATTTTCTTCTAATATTGATGAATATTAGGAATGAGACATTTATAAAAATATGAAATTCATTCCTTTCAAACAAAATTTGAATTTGTTATTGGAAGATATCAATCATGAAAGAACTTTGTATTGATTATAATTCAAAGACCAAATTTACAAAATATCACTAAGAATTTTAGAATGAACTCAAATAATACCTTTATAAAATAAATTTGAAATAGTTTTTAAAATTTTCTTCAACTTCAAAGTGCCCAAAGTCATATGTTGACTTTTAAGTTCGTAATAAATATCTCTTAATTTAATAATAATAAAAAATTTTAAAAAGAAATTTAAATTATTAGAATCACAAATCTTATATGGTCAAATTAATCAATATAAAGGAAACAATTATCTTGAAGCTATTGAATTTATAGCCCAAAAGAGCAAGAGCAAACGACTCCTGTTTGGTGCCTTATCACTTTAAATATATTTGAATGAATGCAATTTAATCTTCAATTCATAAATTGATAATGTCTATAAAAATTAGAGGAGTGACAAATTCTTTAATAAGATTTAAAAAAAGTATTCTTCAATTTTAGAAATATAATCTTAACTTTTAAATTTGTAGGATTTTATTTAATTAACATAGTAAAATCATTAAGAAATAAATTATAAATTATGGGATATTGAATGTTTAAAATAAATTAAATAATTACTTTATTATATATAATCAGCTATAAAAATGATTTAATAAATAATAAAGAAGTAATAATTAATATTTTAAATATAATTTTAATACATTATAAACCATGTAAATTTTTTATATCATAAATCAATTTATTTTAAATTAGCTTTATTTTACTTATCTTTATTGTTATGACTTATGCTATCTTATTCGATTTTATTATTGTTAAAATTTAAGATATAATTTTTAATTTTCAAAATTATTTAATAGAAATGAAGTATCATTTCATAAGTTAATCCAAATAATTAAAAAAAAATTGCTAATATGACAAATGAAATGACTGCCCAACCTAAATTCACCTTATTTTACTATATAAACATTATCTAATGTGCATCATTCATTGAAAATAACACAGCAATAAATAATATTGCACTTAAGCTAAATTCTTAAATAAGCTAAAGATAAAATTCCTTCTTGCTGTTATATGGGTTTTAGTATAGAATAAAGATAACTCCAATTGAGGTCGAAAAAAAGCATAATGATGTTTAAATAATTGGTGTATAATAGTAATATACCATAAAATAGATGTACAAAATCTTTCTAATCAATCCAAAAAATTTAAAATAATACCCAAATGATTATTGGGTATTAATATTTTAATAATAAACCTCAAATTATTCTTTGTATTATCTATTTTCTGCAAGTAATATATGTAGGTTTAGTGTTTTATATTATTGATAAAGCTAAAATAAAATGATATTAATAGAAATCATAGCTAAAAATGAATTTAATCCAACTATGATGTTTTAATTATTTTATGAATAAGTGATTTGAAGCATAATCGCTAATGTAATATCCAGTAAACATAATGAAAGAGTTTATTTTAACTTATTTTTCAATTTTTTATCCATAATAATAAAATTATTTATTATCTGAGTCAGTATGGTATTATTTTATACTATTTTCTCATTCTACTGTTATTCAACCATACTATGCTGAGATTTTTTTATTGCTTGTAAATTAAAAATACTAAAGTGTTTACGATGGATTTCAATTGGTTTAATTTTTTTATATTAATTGAGAATTCTAAAGAAATACAAGAACAAAAAATTAACTGCATATAAAAGAAAAGTAACGAATATAAAAATGAATGGAATCTAAATATTATTAAAGAATAGAGGATCTATTCCTTTATCTTAAAATTTTTAAGATGCATAAAAGAAATATGAGCAATTAGGTTAATTTAATCCTTAATATGTAGGAAAAGTAACAAAAGATGACCAATCGGAAATTAAAAAGAACTTTTCTACATTAAAAGGATAATGAACATTTAAAAAATAGAAATTATTTATCCAACTTAATATTTCAAGTACAGCCCACAAATAATCATAAAGGTTCATTATTATGGAAACCGGAATTAATATAAGAAAAATTAAATTAAATGTTGATTGAGCATTTTAAATTTACTCTGCCATCTTTTTTTCACTTTCTATTAGTATGATTTATTCTTAAGGTTGAATGGTGAATTTTATTTCTTGAGTATTTTTCTCCAAAAGTAATCTATTTAATTAGAATGAAGCAGTAAGAGTTACATAAATTGTATTATATTTGAAAATAGATTAATAAAATGTAAATTGAATGTTACAGGTATTATTGTCAGATGATATATAATATGAAAAATCCTTTTATTGCATACCATCAATTATAATCTTAGGATCTAAACAATTTAATATTAATTTATATTATGAATTATTAAGGTAAAGATTATAGTTACCATCTTGGTTTAATTACCAAAGTTATAGATTATTAATAAAATCTTGTGATAATTCCATTCTACATTCAGAGTCACAACCATCGCCATTTTCTAGATTTCCATCGTCACAATTTTCTTATTCGTAAGCGACAATTCCATCTCCACATTAAGTGATACAAACTTTATTTTAATAATCAGTATAATATCCAGGAATTGATTCACATAACTCACAATCATTTCTATAACATGATGTACATAAATTTGATTAGATTTTACAAGTTATACAATTATTATCACATTGTAAACATTTATCTAAAACTGGATAAAATCCTTGCATACAATCATGACATATGAGATATAATTAATCTATACTTTAGCAATCCTTACAATATTTTTCACAAGTCTTACAAATAGAATAAGTTTAGCCGTGACATATATATCCTTTTTAAATTTGGCAATTATTACATCCTTATTCATTTGGATTATCACATTCTTCTTCTAATTTATTGATTAATCCATCTCCACAAATTGAAACACATCTATCAAATTCTAATGTAAATCCATCATTACATTTTAGACATTTTCCATAATAACAGATTGCACATTCTTTTTATATATTGCAATTTTCATATTATATTAATTAACAATTAGAACAACCATCATAATTATCAATATTACCATCATCACATTCTTCTTATCCTTCAATTATCTAATCTCCACAAATGGTTTCACATAAATTATTAAATAAATTTAAATAAAATCCTTTCTTGCATTATAAGCATATTCCTTAAACATAAATTTCGCAATTAAATAATTAACCTTATTAGAATTCAAGAAAAATATCATTAGAAAAATTTGTTAATTTTTAACTTTATTTTAATTCTAACATAAGCAAACATTCACCTCTAACACAAAATTAACACAATTATTCACAAGAATACATACAATTAAAACACCCATCAAATGGTATAAGATTTCCATCATCACAATCTTCATTTACAGAAGTTATTTCATCACCACATTCCTATATATCAAATAATCCATCTAGGTCTTCCATATCTTAATAATTATTCTAATAATTCTACTCTAATAAATTAATATCTTCTAATATTGGTTTCTAAACAGAAATAAACAGATTTTTAATTCCACAAAATGTTGGATTAGCTTAATCAAAATTATTATCACAATCAAATAGTATGTTTAATTGTTTATTATCATTATTTAAGTATTCAATCTTTTCCCTTACTTGTATGATCTGAGAATTATAATCGTTTTACCAATTTTAATCTTCCTTTAAATCTTAATTATTGCTAATAGTCAATGTTTTCATTGATTGTGAATTAATTTAGTAATGAAATTAAATTCTAGACATTATTTCATCACCTAGAATTATTTCAAATTTAACATAAACTATTTATTATATGTTTTCAAGCTATAGATGAAATTTAAACTAAGCATTTACCCAAACAAATGGTCCTCCAAATATTCTTTTATTTTGAAAATATGAAAAGTAAATATCGTTTCCTTTTTAAAAATTATATTTGCTATTTCTATCGTTAACTAGTTAGAATAATTCATTTATTCTTTCTTTACGAGTTGAAAGATCATAAAGTTCTTTCACTAAAAATACTTCCTATTAATCTTCATTCTAGCTCACATTTTCATTTGGAATAACACAAAATTGGTTTAATTATTCAGTGTAATCTGGGCAATTAGAAAAGCATAATCCGCTATATAAATAATAATTATCTTTACAAACCCCACAGGTATTATTATTTTTACATATTTAACAATTCAAAGCACAAACTAAATATTATATTTTAATTGTTGGAATAGTAGACAAATGCTGATATTTCATAATTTCAATAGAAAAAGAGTCCTTACTTATTGGTTTATTAATTTCAACTCTAATTTCATTATTTAATCTTCTTAAGTAATTTGATTTTGATCCTGATTCTGATCTTATTCTATATTTACTTATCCTAGCAACTTATCTTCCATCAATCAAAACATTCACAAAATTTTTATCCATTAATTCAATTGTAACTGTTATTCTTAGCAATATGGTGGATGTATCTAAAGGACCAAAAACCTTATATCCTTCTTAACTCATTGTTAGCTTCGAATGATCATAAGTTTTTAATTCTATTAAAATAAAAACAATAGTACTTTAATTCTTATAACATACTTTATCTTGGTCATAATCATACTCATCCATACATTAATCAACGCAGCCTTATGAAATTTGCAAAAAGCTCAAATTAATCTTTTCTTAGCAAGATTAGCAATTATTAGAAACCAAAAGTATGTCATCATAGCATGAACTGCATTTATTCATTTCTTCTTAGCATGTTTTGCAAGTCTTATAACATTAATGATAGAAGATTTATAAATTTCTAAATAAATAAGATTCGTTTGAGAATTCCTGATTTACTGTGCTTATCAATTATAATTTGAGGGTTTATGAGGTATGGAGAATCTCTTAATAAACTGTCAAGAAATGTGATTTGTGTTTACCAAATTTGATTTTAATCTATTCTTATAAATAGATTGTCAATATTGCTATCAGTATCTAAAGATCCATGACCATATACATCTATGTATAATTATATTTAATAATGAGGGAATATATTCTGAATTTCATATTTAATTTCCTTACAATTCAAATCAACCTTTATTAAATCCATTCCACTATTACATGAGAAAACTTCAGGCTGAGAATTTAAGCATTACCAACCATTCCAATTTATAATTTTTAGTGAGTTAAAATTCTCATAAAGTTATTGCATTTAGCATTTGATCTATAGATTAACAATAGACAAAAGTAAAAGTATTTAAAACATCATTATGATAATAACTTAATAAATAATTTTTAAAAATTTAAATCATTAAAAATTATATCAAATGGAAAAGAAATATTAATTATAAAAGGAAAGCTCAATAACTGGTATAATTACTTATTTTATGCAGATAATAAATTTTGTTAGCTTCTTATCCTTATTAAATATTTAATATATAATAGAATTAATTTTACATAATGATTATATTAAATACTAAATATTTGTAAGAAATATTTTTCAATTATTAAGTTAATTAAGAATAAAGTATAAAATAAAAGAAGAATTATAGAAAATTGATACAGCTCATAAATCAAATTATTATTATAATGTGTATGGAGAAATAAAAGAATAATAGTTTATCATCAAATACAGGCGATTATCTTATTATTTATGTTTCAGTATTTAGATATGTAATAATTTGTTAGTCGCAAAATGATCAGACAATTAATATATTGCTTGTAAGATAATCAAAATAATTATTGATTGATGAAATTAAATAAGAACATAAAATAAATAACAATAGAATAATAAAATAAAAATAACTTCTAGAAAATGGAGTCATTAATAGTTGCTACTGAAAGAAACAATATAAAAGCAGTTTAAACTTCGCCTAATGTCTTTCTTTCATCACACTTTATCTAGCTTTAAGAGAAATCATAAATTAATAAATTCATGATATTTATAGTCTAATCTAAAACAAAAATTTTTGGGTGAATTTCTTTCAAGACTTTTAAAAATTAGTTCAAAAAT